TAAAACTGACTATTATTAGAATAGTAAGAATAAATATGAATACCATTTATTGAGAGGGAGGTCATAGAGAGTCTGTGTGGCTTTTCCCATTGCTTACAAATAAGAATCTGTCAGCATTTCCATTAAACACAGCTATTTTCAGAATCCTATACCAACGAAACTCACTTTGGAATGGAAGCATGATTAATAATATCCATCAAGAATATTTCATCATTGTTACACATAAATTCCATTCATCCATATTAATGGAACCCCTAGGGCACCATGTGCATTTCTTAGTATGTCTGTTCACTTTCTTCTGAAAAGACTATTGGCAGATCTACCAGAAGGGAGATATATTATGCAACTAGTTCCATGACTTATTTAAAGCCATAGCACAAAAGAAGACTCAATGAGAATGTTGGGAGACAACTTGCAAAGGTTTCTCTGAGGAAGCAAGGCTGAGGTTCAGACATCCAGGACACAGTAAGAGGAGATGACCAAAGCCAAAGGAGGAGAGGAAAAGTGGCCGACGTAAAGAACCTGACGTAAAGAACTGACGTAAAGAACCAACGTAAAGAACCGACATAAAGAGCCGACGTAAAGAACCGACGTAAAGATGGGGGGGGACCCATTCCACAAAGTTGTTCTCTGACTTCCACATGTGCACCATGGCATGCATACCTCCCACACACACACACATATCATACACACACACATATCATGCACATATACCTATGTATACAAAAAACATTAAAATAAAATATGCCTCTCCAAGTAATAGTACATACTTAAATTCTAAGCCCCAACTGGAACAAAAGGTAGCCTTTGGAAGTAGTTGTCCTGCAGTCCAAGGCCCTGGCTGTCAGAACAAACACTATCATTTACACTCTGCTTCCTGGATTTCTCTCTCCACCTTGATTGGTTTGCCTTCACCTAAGCCACCACCACCCCTCACTTTGGCCTCCTCCCTGTCACCCCATAATCTGGCCTCTACACAGCAGCCAGGGGGATTCTCTGCACATTTAAATCTGGTCCCCTCACGCTCTGTGCCTGGGAGCACTGGAGTCCTTAGCAGTCCACAGGGCTTCCATGCAGAACTTGGAAGGTGAACGGCAGTAATCTAGGCAGAGGTGACACGGAGAAAGCAGACTCCAATAGTTTACAGGTGCAGAGAATGAGTATGCCATCAGGAAAACAGAGACCCAGTTCCATATCCATCAGCAGAAACCTCGACTAAGCCAGGCAAGCAAAACTCAAAACAAGCCAGGGTGCACTACACCAGGAATGCCAGGCCTTAGACACAAAGGAAGCGCTGAGCTAGCCAAGATGTTCTGCTTCACCTTGAGACTTCAACAGAGAAGTCAGAGGAGGGGGTGGAACCTGCGTGCGTTCTCTGTCACCACAAGTGACACTCAAATGAGGCTTTTAGTAAGTTCCTTGGAAAACAAACAAAATAAAATGCTATATTTACCAGAATGAGAATGAAAGAAATAGAAGAAAAAGGGCCCCAAAAAGACAACATTAGTCAAATTACGTTTTTTGCCACTTAACTACCTACTACAAACATCTCTGACATAAACACAAATATAACTCCACATGCACATTTTAATGTCTGCATAATCTTAATTACATGAGCATAACAGAGTTCACGTACCTGTTGCCTACTGTGAGATATCTGAATTCTTAGTAATTTGTTTCATCAACAACTATGCAATGGATATTCATGAACATATGCTTTCGTACATTTTTGTGAGGCTCATTTTAAGGCACTTATGACACAGAATTGCTAGATCAAAGACAAGCATGTTTTTGTCCTCTAACACATACCCACAGCTTGTGCTTACAGTCTCACCAGCAGAACACAGAATCCTTGCTCCTCGTACAGGATTATTCCCCTCATTTTTGCAAATCGGACAGAAGACTAGTCTCTACAAGATATTTTATGTAGTTTTATTAGAAAATTTCACAGGTAGAACCTTTTTGTGAAAAGTAATGGCCTATTTGTGTTCCCTGGATCCAAAGAATCACTGGGAGTCAGTCAGTTTTAGAAATCATCCTTTTGAACACACTCCACAGATACATATCATGAACACACAAACCCGAGGCCACCATACATCAAATTTTGTAGTAGAGAACAGCTAACAAGTTCCGGGTCACAGTGCCTTGGTAGATATGCACAAAAGTGGCACAGAATCAAGAGGCTTCCAGAAATTTGAAAGGAAAAAGACTTAGAGAGGATCGCCTACTTGCCCAAGGCCACAAGAGAAAGAAATCTTCTCACAATGCAACAGAATCAAAGTAAAACATTACTTGGATCACAGAAATCTTAAAATCTGAACAACTGTGTATCTTAAGTAGGAGAACACTTTTTCACAGCGGAGATGACCTTGGAAGAACAATTAACTTTATAGTACAAACTCACCATGTAGGGATGTTTATAGAACATTATGTATTTCAAACTGGTATTTTTAAGGAAACAATTAAAAAGGAACATGCTTAGAGCGAAAACGGAGAGGGCGTATGTTGGCCAAGAAGCCGTGGTTCAGAGCTCTTTCTTTCTAAGGTGACTTGAAAGCCACGGGCAGATGCTGTTCTTTGAAAGTGGGGGGTTCTCCAGATGGCAAAGTCACACTTCATCCTGCAGGCTGATTTCAGGTGTGGAGCAGTGATGTGATGCGGTGGGAAAGCAGGTATCTTAGAGCAATTAGACCTTTGTTGTCTACTCACTACGCAGCACTATTAGTAATCCTTTAGGTCACAGTTCCCTAATTTGTAAAATGAGACTAATTCCAAACTCAGAATTTTTAGAAGATTAGGAAAAACCAAGCAGAAAGTAGGTAAGGTGCTAAGTACCCGGCAATTGACGATTTGATTTTCTCAGATGTGATTAGGAATTGAAGAAGCATGTTTGAAAGATTTTCTTGGCAGAAACTGCCTTCTTAACTATGATCTCACAATTCTTGTAAATTCAAATAATTTTTTGGTACATAATAGTGACAGAAAGCTATCAAGCCAAATCGAACTGTACCCGAAGCCTGTTAAATCATCCAAGGAAAGCAGCTTTTCAGTGAAGAAATTAGGATGTGTAAATTTAAAAAGAGAGTCTTTACTATCTAAACTTCTGATGCATAAAGATCAATGTATAAGGCTTTTCATGCAAAAACAGAAAACTAAGGACATTTCCCTTTCTAGAGTAAATTAACTTAAATGTGAAAACAACAGAACGTAAGCTGGTCATATACGCTGCATCATCTCGGGCTGATATTTTAAAATATGGGGGTTGCTTGTAGCTTATCATTTCAGACTGATAAACTACTTTAAAACATGTGGGTCTCTTTTTCGATATTCTAATTTTCTACTGAATTTTTTGTGTATTTCATACAGAACATCTCAAATGATCTTAATCATCTTCATACTCCCGTTCACCACCAACACCCTCCCATAGCTCCCCCCCACTGGAGCCTATATACTCTATCATCCCTGTTCAGGCCCACTCTTGTCAGTGTCCCCAGCCGTTCCCCTGTGCAAGTCCATCCAATAAGTCTAGTCAGCCTGTCTACAGTCCCTTGTTTTAGGAAGATCAGCTCTTCCTCACCCAGCAGTAATCAGCTGCCTATGTCTCCTCAGGTAAGATTGGGGTCTGCTGTTCATTTCCCCAGTTCTGTGCTGGGATTTTGTCTGCCTGAGTTGCATGGGACTTGTGTATGCTGACACCACTGCCATAGAATCATACAAGCATGTTCCCAGGGGTCTCTTTTAAATTGTTTGGCAAGTTCTCTTACCCAGTTGTCCTCAGTATGCTTTGCTAAAACAAAAACTGGGATGCTAATAATCAAGAAACAGCACCATTTTCTTACGTAGTCCTGTACATCTTTGCTCAAAGTAATAGCTGTTCGGTTATCTGCTTCTTAAAGAATACAAGAAAACATGAAATATGTTATTTCTTTAAATTTAGAGCAAGTTTAAAACTAAAGTTAATATAACCTGACACGACAAATCACTTCTCAATTTCCCAAATTTGAAAACAGTTTTTGTTGTTATTATTAGTCTTTCTGAAATCAGTGATGTACACAGCTTTTTGCTTAGGAAGAAACAGCATCACATTTATACATAAGTTTGCACATTAAGTCAAAAGAACTTGTGTAGCGTTTATAGCGATCATTAAATGCAATAACCATCTAGGTGTGAGGGAGTAAAGAAACTAGAATCCGCTTCTTAAAAAGACTGAAAATACATGAGGTATGCGTTAACCCCTCCGGGCGGTCAGGACTTTTTTTGTTCTTCATTGTCTACATGTGCCTGAGGCAAAGGTGTTACAAAAATGCTTAACAAACCCCATGTTGTTCAAATATGAGGGTTTTGATAAAAATGTAACTTCTATCACATTTTGCCACTTCATGTGATCATCAGAATTCCAACAACACAAAGTCACCATCAGCTCAGCCTGTGATTTTCTTCCTGAAACAAGGTTACTGATGCTCATCAAAACAGGAGCCCCTGGTACTGCGGCTCAGGTTGGTTTTGTTTTTAATTGAGCTGGCTGAGAATTTGACAAAATTGGCTTCAGTCCCATCTAAATTATTTTATCAGTTGTGCCCACAGATACAAGCTGCTTCAGCCTTTGATGTTAGTGCAGACAATTTTCAATAGTTTCTTATAAACAAAAAGGTACTGTGATAAATTTCAAAGAATCAATAGTAAAGACTACTCTCTGGGTGCTATCTAGAGTACAGAAGGATGATAATTCCTCTGCGGGGCGGCAAAAGTGTGTGAGTCACAATATCTTGATCACTGGAGTGTCTGAAGTTAATTGATTAATAACATTGAAATGTTTTAAACTGTAAGTTCTCATATTCATGCTGCAAAGATTAAACTATTTGTCAAAGTTAGCACTTGCTAACTTAAATTCAATTGACAGTTCACTGAAAATCAATAAAATACACATCAACAAAACACAGTTGACACCAAATAAATCCACTATTTTTTAGTAGCCAATGATATTTTTATTGAATGTTCACGATTTTCATACAATATGCTTTGACAGTATTGACACCCCTCCCATATCTGCGTTTCCTCAACTATCCCCCCCACCCAATTGAAGGCACTCTCATATATGCAATATGGCCTATAGAGTCTGATTTGTGTCCCCTAAAGTCCTTCAGTGTGGGTCAATCCTCCGGGCCCACCAAGACTCTCATGCCTGTTAGACACGGTCTTTCCCCATCTCTGAGGCTATCAACTGCCAAAAGTTCCTTAGGTTGGGATGGGATTTTTCACCTCCCTCCTTCCCCATGTCTCTGCTGGGATTTTGTCTGGTTTGAGCTTGCACAGGGCCTGTGCAAGCTGTCACCATTGCTGAGAGTTCATATGAGCAACTGACCAGCTGTCTGGAAGACTCTGTTTCCTGTGGTCATCCACCACCTATGGATCTTTTTATCTTCTTCTTCCTGACCCCTGAGCCTCAGGAGGCAGAGATTTGAAATCGGTGTCCTATTCAGGGTAAGCACTCTGCAGCCTCGTCTTCTCCGCACACTGACCAATTGTGGGTTTCTGTGTTAATCACCATCTGCTGCATAAGGAAACTTCTCTGGTGAGAGGTGAGAGATGCCTTCATCATATGTGTAGAGACTGCACTGACGATGTGTCATGTAGAGTTAAGCATCTCACAGACACTTACTCTCTACATTTGACCAGTTCTGGAACTCTGTAATAGTCTCCATCTGTTGCAAGAAGAAGCTTCTTTGATGAGGGGTGAAAGGTACTCTTGTCTGTAAATATGAGGATGCATGTTTAGAATAAAGTAAGAAATTAACATTGGTCTGGGGATGCAACAAAAGTAGGTTTTTCTCTAGAATCTATGACTTCTCCATCCACGTGTATGTGGCTATGTTTACATTACTGCACATGAGTTCCCTCCCATTGAGTGGGCCTTGATTCCGATTAGACAGCTATTAATTACCCTCAAGATAAAAGGTCTAGGACTGCACCAGCAGCAGTAGTTTGCTGGGCCAGTCATTATTATTTTTTAGGCTTTACAGCTGGGTAGGACCACTGATTGATTTTCTCCCTTAGCAGCTTATATAATGTCCTCTGATACCATGAGAGCTGGTCTTCAGGGATGAGGCTTCCAGGTCAGTTCCAGCTCCATTGCTCCAAGTCCTGTGTCCAAAGTGTGTCCTGCCTCCAGCAATAGGTGCTTACCTTCAAGTTCTGGGAGGTAATCAGGACTGTGGCAACGGACTGTGTTATTTTAGGAGTCTCTTGGACCACCCTGACCAACAAATCAAAGGGAGGTTTCTCCTGTTTGTTGTTATACAGCCTTCCGCTATACACATGCACTCATATATTTATTAGATGTACAGTTTTCAGTAGGACTTTGAACTAATACATTTCCCTCTGGTTTTCATACCATCTAAGCATTATTTATCTCTGCTTTCACTACCAATGTACAACCCTCCCTACTTCCCCGGTTAAAGTACCCCCCTGTGGCCCAAATTCTCTCTGGGTCTCCTGCATGATCAAACCATATAATATATTTTATGTGTATTTATTAACTTACAAAGGAACAAGTACTCAGTGCCTAGCCTCGCGCGGCAGCGACTCACAGCACGCCTTATCACACACTCTACCTGCGGCTCCTGGCTTCCATCCCATGGTTGGAGGAACCAGCCAATCGGGAGACACCCCCTTCCCCTTCTCCCTTTGATAAGTCCTGTCTCCTACCGTCCCTCTCCCTTGAGCTCCTTCTTCCCCTTTATCCCCTTGGATAGAGGAGGAGTGAGAGGAGAGATAAACAACACTTAGAAGGTATGACAGAGGGAAATGCATTAGTTCAAAATCCATTATTTTTGACACGAAATTTAGATACATTTCTAAATAAACTTGAAATATTTCATTACTTCGATCCCAATTTAATATATAAATCAACTTACTAGGAAAAAGGAAAAAAGGCTTTTCTCAAAAGTAGGAGCTATACACCAAATTCAAACGGCATGATTCCCAATTCATCCTTAGCCATGAACTCAAAGACCACTGGTGCGATTAATAAAACTTGGCAGCATAATGCTGTTATTTCTAGTTAAAAGATGTAGCACAATAATGGCTTCTAGCTTCAGACTGCTCCAAGCAGAGTGTAAAATCAATACCCAGATGTAGATTTCCAGTTAGAAGTTAGTTTAGACAAAAAGACAATAAATCAATTATTAGTAGAAAACAGAGTCATGTTTTCTAAAGTCATTTAACTGAAGTCTGGATCTGAAGGTAAGCAATCGCACTTCCTGGGCTGATTTTGAGGTGTACACTGTTTAACAGGAAGTGAGACAGACCACCCTCCCCGAGATGAAAGAACGTACTCTCAGGAAAATCAGATACCAACTTCCAAAGAAGCTTAAAAGTTCACACTGCATGGCCAGGTGTGATTCAACATGGCCTTGTTTCTACATTCTGACTAGCCCCTCAATTCTGATCTTACAAATCCCTGAACCCCAAAACAGAGACAGAGAAACTGCAGTCAAAAGTCAGAAGAATGTGATGAATCTTTTTTGTCTGTCAAAAGATCTTTTTTCTTTTTTTCATTTTTTTTTTTTTTTTTTTTTTTTTTTTTTTTTTTTTTTGGCGTCTCCTTGTAGCCCCAGCTGTCCTGGAACTCACTATGTAGACCAGGCTGGCCTTGAACTCTGCCTCCTGAGTGCTGGGATTAAAGGCGTGCGCCACCACGCCCAGCTAAGATCTTCTTTTATATTGTCTACATAAAAGTCCCACTTGCTGATCTTAATATAACCATTTGCCAGTGGAAAAAACAGATTCCCTTACGAAAATCCAAGTTGGGTTAGTGCTTGTTCTTAACTTCTCAGTTCTCCAAAAACCCTGCCTGGAAAAGAAAGTGAACTTCCTGTAACAGATGAAAGCAGGAGCACTCTGGAAGGACTGTGGGACGCACCTTCACCTCAGGCTCACAGCATGCGGCTGTGTGCCCAAAATGCACTGATTGAGTATTTGAGAGAGCACAGATTCCTCATTCAAGAACCGGATGTTATGTGAGCAAGAAACAGGGTTCAGGAAAATCAAACATGATTTCCATACAGCCTCTGTTTGTGAGACCTCCAGAGGTCAACTCCAGAGTCCTGAGGCGCTCCAAGCTGCATGAGAAAGTAAATTATGACAAGAGAAAAGATAAAACAGCAGGGCATAAAATCTAAGACAACTAGAGCTAAAAAAATCAATGAACAGAGAAGGGATTAGAAAAAGATTATCTTAGAAAATAAGAGACACAGGAAAAAAAAAGGATTTAAACACACATATAGAATGTTTCACCTGCAATACCATAAGTATAGAAGGTATAAATTAAAATGATTTTTAAAGAATAATTTTAAATCATGTAAAAAGCTGAAATCTAATGTAACAAGAAATGCCCTCAATGGCACCTCTACAATGCAGCCTCTACACCAGAGGCTCAGGGAACTTGAAGGAGGAGGATGAAGAAAGGATGTAAGAGCCAGAGGGACATGACACTGGCTGCCAGTTAATACCTTCGAGACCAGACTGGGAAGCTGCTGCAGGAACAATCTCCAATCTCAGTAGTGCGGTGGCCTAAGGAGATCTGCGTGATGACAAAACTAGTTGCTATGCCACAGTGGATGAGGGAAGTGTCGTGGAGTCCCACCTCAAGATGAAGAGCTGCAGGCAATCGGTGGATGCTGAGGAAGGGAGAACAGTTTTCTCCAGGGACGAGCTCCCTGAGAGATTATCTAACCCCAAGTGGGCAGCCCTAAACACAGGTGCACAGGAGCGCTACTAAATGGACTTGGTGCTTTAAATAGATCTGTAATATATACGTGCATATGTAATAGTAATTTTAAGAGACAAGTAATTGGGTAGTAGTGGGGGGCATGGAAGGAGTTGGGGGGATGGAAATAATGCAAACACAATACTCGTGTATAAAATTCTCAAAAATAAACAATAATTTCTAAGTTGTTTTCAAAAATAAAAAAGTGTAACTGACAGTAAAGACAAGTTACATGTTTCTAATCCTACTAATTCACCAAAGCTGCCAAAATTGGGACTGCTGACTATTTTGAAGGCTCCTCCCTGGAGCCCAGTCCTCACTGCTCTCCGACAGCCCATCAGCCTTCTCAAATTCACAGGTAAATGGGAAGCCAAACCCAGCAAAGAGCCCTTCCAGCAAACCCTGCTCCAGCTTGTGTTATTACCTGAGGCTTTCTTCGTCCCAAACCCGTTCCTTCCTCTGTATCCCAGTCTCTACTACCACTATGTTTTATGTGTCATAGCTTTTATTATTTAAAATCAGGCTGAGACTTGACAAGTGAAACACTGAAGTGTCTTTCATAGTTTCAATAGGGGTCCACCAACAACCACCAAGGACTCCTTCTGTTCCAAGGACTCCATTCAATTCAACAAATATTTATTGAGGCCCTACCATAGAATGCGTTCAGGAAGGAAGTCTTTGCACTGCTTTGAATCCATGGCCAGTTGGAGGAGAGAAGCACAGTTCCTCAGAGAAGACTCAGACCCAGGGTGTGTTGTTTGTTGTTTACTTCCTGGGGAAACACCCACATTTTCCTTGAGTGCTTCTCAAAGCTCCCTACACACACACACATACACACACACACACACACACACACACACACACACACACCTCTGCTTGGCACAGCTCTGGACATCCAGACCAGGCAGAGATCCTGGCTCCTATAGTTCTTTGCCGGCTTGTGATTTAGCCGTCACATGTAAGTTACTCAACAAAGACCCTGAGCCTTTGGGTATAAACCAAAGTGCTCCAAATCAAAACACATTTCAAATTATCAAAGGCAGTTCTACAGTATTTAATAAGCCAGGCAACTGTTTCAGGGGAAAGATGGACATGTCAAAGATAATATTTATACTCATGCCTCTGAAAAAACTTCAGGTTTGTGCTTCATGTTTCTAAAAAATACTATAGACTAAAGCAAACTGAATAAAAATAAAATAGGACTTAGAGTGGCGGCAGTGCCTTTAATCTTTATCCTAGTACTCAGGAGGTAGAGGCAGGAGGATCTCTGTGAGTCCATACCAGCAAGAGCTACATAGCAAGACCCTGGCGCAAAAGGAGGGAGGGAGGGAGGGAGGGAGGGAGGGAGGAGAGAAATAAAATAGGATGAAACCTTATGCTTGAGCCATTGTTTTCTGGAATTTCTTGAATATTTATAGGAATGTATGTTTTTCAAACTGCTTTTCTTTTAAAGATCAAAAAAGAATTGTAATACAAAGAGAAAATATCAAACCTGTTTTCATAAAAGTAAAACAGGGAAACTGAGCGTGTAAGCATGCACTTTATTATTAGCCCATGTGAGTCCGCTGTAAATTTGCCGGCCTGTTTCTTGCTGTCTACACAGCAGTCAGAGTGGGCTGTTCGACGTATTTAGCTCTTACTACTCATCACTTGATTTCTTTTTTTTTTTGAGCACAGAAACAAACACCTTCACGCTGTGCTTGTCAAACTGAGACATGCAAAGAATCATTCTACCTCCGAACTAAAAGCTATAACTACTCCTGAACATTAAGGATAGTAACAGACAAAACTCAAAGAAGTTCAATGAAGACGTTACATGTGCAAGTGGAAAGATATGTCACCACACGTGCGTAAGGACATTTTAAAGGAAGTCACAAACAAAAACAGAACCATAAATTTCCAAAAGTAGAATCTTGTAAGATGTGACTAAATTGTTAGACAAAGATTTGTAAAACTACCAACAATCAATTAATGGCATACTGAATATCTCTGAGCTCTAAGAGGAATAATATGAGGTCTCGGTATTCCATGAAGTTTAACTGTGTGAGGAACCACACAATCATTTCATCAGTTAAAGAATATTTTAGACACAGAGCCAGCTTAATCCCAGCACTCAGGAGGCAGAGTCAGGTAGAGATCTGTAAGCCACCCTGATCTACATAGAGAATCCCAGGCAAGCTGGGGCCACAGAGAGACCCTGTATTTAAGGAAAAAAAAAGATTTTGGGGCTGGAGAGATGACTCAGCAGTTAAGAACACTGGTTCTGGCTGTTCTTGAAGAAGACCTGAGTTCAAATCCCAGCACTCACACGGCAGCTCCAGTCCTAGGGGATCTGACAGCCTCTTCTGACCTCCACGGGCATTGCACAACACAGGTGCACTTACCTACATGCAGACATAACACTCAAGCATTACTGAAGCATTTAAAGGTAAACCATCATATTTAATTTTAAAACATTTAAATAATTTAGTAAAAAGACTTTAAATTCTTTTTTTTTTCAACGGGGTCCCCCTAGACTCAGCCTGGCCTGGAAGTCACTATATGGACCAGGCTGGTCTCAATCATGCAGAGATCTGCCTGCTTCTGCCTTCCAAGGACTGGGATTAAAGGCATGCGCCACCATGCCTGGCGTAGAATACTTTAATTCTTTAGAGGCATTTAAATGTGATTGTTAAAATCTTTCAGTTTTTTTTTAAGTAATTGTATTAGAACATCTGAGCCTATTCTTAATAACTTTATGAAACCCCCATAGTAAATCTGGTCATAAGGATACTGAACATTTTCTATTTAAAAACCAGCACAGAAAGTATGAAGAGCATAGCAAATTATAATGAGCATTATTTTTTATAGAAAAAGTTAGTAAGCTACTTGCCAAAGTGTTAGCTGTGCTTAGTTGAGTGGTGTGACTCACCCGGCCTAAAGTTCTCACATTCTATGCACTAATCTGCCCTATTCAGCCCCACTGTAGCTGTAACCAACTACCACAAACTTAGTAGCTTCTTTTATACTCCTAGAGACCAAAAGACCAAAAACAGGTTCCCTAGGCTACGGTCAGGGTCCACTTCCTCAGGAGAGGCCAGAGGAGAAAACCCGTTTCTTCAGTGTCTAGTTTGGATTGTATTCTTTGGCCCATTTCCCCTTTCTCAATCTCCGGTGACTACTTCACGCCTCCCACTCCTATGGCTCCAACTTCTATTTTCCATTTAAAATGACTCCCGCATTCCTTGGCTCCTGGCCCATCTCTTCCACCTTCCTTCAAGGTCAGCAACAGGGAATCCAGGCCCTTGAAGTGTTCACATGGCTTGCTCTCACAGCCCAGACTCATCCAGAAGGGAAGACTGTTAAATCTGATGGACTCCTGCAATTGGCGAGGTTCGCCAGAATATCCAGGATAATTGCTTTTCTCAAAATTCTAATCACATCTACAAGTCCCCTCTTGTCATAAAAGAAAGGGAGCACTCACAGGCTCCAGGGATTGGGGTGCAGACAGCTTTACAGGCTATTCCACTGAGCACACACAGCAATAATTTTCCAAAATAAAATAAAAATAATTTTAATTGAATCAAAAGAATTATCATTTTCCATGTGGGGAATATTCTAAATAGAATTGATTGTGCAAAATCAAGTTCCATTTTCAAATGGCCTCAGACCACTGGCATTTTTTTCAAGAGCCACAAGGATGGTATGACTTCCAAACCTGTTCTTCTTCATCTTACTTCAACTGTACATTTGTCAACAGAAACGGAGTGTAACTCAACAGGCGTACATCATGTATTCTCTTTATCCAGGTTATAACTATGAACATCTGGAACGTATGATCCACAACCGATTATTCTGAGACAATGCAATTCCCAAAATTCTATCTATCCAACTTACTCGCTCCTTCAAAGAAAAAACAGGCTTTCAGGATAATCAGACGCATTTCTGACAGTCTCTCTCTCTTACTAACCGTGTTTTGTGTATCCAGGGGAGAGACTAATTAATAACAAACAAGTGATAACCAGAAGAGAGTCCTGTGTCTGGGAGCTGCCAGTGGTGCAGAAACTGCGGGGCAAGGCACTTCTATGACCTACTTCAACCATTAGAGAACACAGAACTACCAGAACAAGCAAAATTATTTGCTATTTGGCACAAAAATGTTCGTTTCTATTGCAGTATTTCAGTTTATAGCAATGAGTTGGAAACTTTAGCCAAGAAGTAGAAACAATCTGAACTATTCTACCAGCCGTTATCCTAATTCTAATTGCCCTACCATCTATTCAAATCCTTTACATAATAGATGAAATTAATAACCCTGCCCTTACAGTTAAAACTATAGGACACCAATGATACTGAAGCTATGAGTACACAGACTACGAATATCAAGTAGTCTATGATGTGAATTCTAAATGGAGTGAGACAGAAACTTTTGGTCTCAGACAACATTCTAACCAAATAAGCAAAGCTTGTAGTACGTTATTTTGTTTTAGCTTAGTTTTAGCTCTACAAAATGTTTTAGTTCTACAAAATAGTACTTTTGTTATGTATAATATTAAACCCTTCATATGTAAAATTTGATGACTTTCAATAAATAAATAGTGTAAATTGTGCCTTTAAGTGTAAAAGGACTTGGGGCCAAAACTGCATGACCTGAGTAAAGCTTTGCTTTCTGATCTTATGGGAGGTTTTTTAAAAGATTTATTGTATTTTTAATCATATGTGTATGTGTGCCTCTGCATGTGGGTACTGATGCCTGCAGGGGCCAGGAGCTTTGGATCCTGTGGAGCTGGAGTTACAGGGGGCTGTGAGCCTCTTGATGTGCGTGCCAGGAGCTGAACTCAGGTCCACTGAAAGGGCAGTACATGCCCTTAACTACTGAGCCATCTCTCCACCTCCTGATATTATTTGTGTCTTTAACTTGAAATACCAGTTTTTAAATAGCAAACATACTATTTAAAAGATAGACAATGGAATACACAGAAGCCACTGTGGACAAGGAGGGCACACAGTCAGTCTTTTGGCTCTATCAGTCCAACCTCACTGGGTTACCCCTTGTGTTCCCTATTCTTCCAAAGAATTCAATTACAGAAAAGATTATGGAAGATCAGATCTTTTATTCTACAAAAATTTAGACAAGCTACTAGAAGTGTATCAATATCCCAAGATCTACAACACAGATGAAATAAACATCTGTCAAGAGAAAGGCATACAGCCTTCCTGACAGAGGCTACTCTGAAGACAATCAATTATTTCTCAACACTTGCAATTTGGTAAAGAAAGCTAGGCGTGAGTGATCCTCCTTACAACTGTCTGAGCAATGGGAGTACACTGTGTGCTACTAGTTAAAGTTATCTCTGGATAACCTTACAAGTAGTCCCTGACAAGGTAAGCATGTAGGAAATTCAAAGCTTAGGTCAGCTGGACAGTCCTGCGGCCTTCTGATTAGCAACAATGAGTTATGACAAAAGAAAATTCTCCAGGAAATTTGTCCATTGTGCTGAAAATTTAAAAGTTCTAAATACAGGCTGGAGAGACGTTGCAGCAGTTTAGAGTGCCTGCTGCTCTTTCAGGAGGCCCAAGTTTGGTTCCCAACACCCATATCAAGCGGCTCACAACCACCTGTACTCCAGCTCCAGGGGCATCCAGTGTCTCTGGCTTCTACGGGCACCCGTATACATGTAAACATATCGATACCCAGTAACATGCATATGCACATGATTAAAATATAAAATAAATCTTTATAATAAAAAAAAGTTCCAAATACATCCAAAAGAAGCAATGTGTTAGCCACCTGC